CATCCCGACTTGCAGTGCCACAAACTGCTTCATGGCTGGAGTGAGGGGGAGGACAAGCAGAGCAGGAAGCAAAACCACCTCAAATAGACTTGGATGCAATGTTGTACGGGGAGTCTGAGACTACTAGAAGGGAAAATATTTGATTTCATAGAGTTGGGGCTGTTCAGCCTGGAGAAGAGAAGGCTCTGGGGAGATCTTATAGTGGCTTCCCAGTACCTGAAGGGGCTACAAGAAAGCTGGGGAAGGACTTTTCATAAGGGCAGTTAATGACAAAACAAGGGGAAATGGGTTTAAGCTGAAAGAGGGGAGGTTTAGATGAGATATTAGGAAGAAGTTCTTCACTGTGAGGATGGTCAAGACAGTGTCCCAGGTTGGCCAGAGAAGCTGTGGCTGCTCCTCCCTGGAAGTGTTCTCGGCCAGGCTGGATGAGGCTTTGAGCAACCTGGTCTAGTGGAAGGTGTCCCTGCTGCTGGCAGGGGGGTTGGGACTGGATGAGCTTTAAGGTCCCTTCCAACCCAAACCAGTCTGGGATTCTATGATTCTCTTCCCTATGCACAGCCCCAGTCCTCGTCACAGTGAGTGCAGGTACCTGGTACCTTTATCAGAGTCACCTGGCATCTTACTGCCCATAGAAGAACAACAGTTCCTGTTCTGGTGGCTGCGTTTGAGTCCATCTATCAGCAGAAAGTCCTTTTCCCAGCAGAGCATGGTTGAGCCACAGTGAATGGAGAAGGGCTGTTCAGCTGCCCCATGACTGAGCGTGTGCCAGTTTTATTAATGAGAAAAGAGGCTCCACAGCCCCTTAAACTTCCTTTTTGGTGAGCCCTGGAAGTTTCACAGTGCTTTAAAAATAGTATCCACTAAAATGTGCAGATTCATAGAATTGTTTTGATTGCTTCCTTGTGCTGCTTCTGGAGCACAGGCAGCCACATCTCACCAAGCTTGTGATTATTTACTGCTGAACTAAGCAAGGTCCAGAAAACAATAGCATGACCTGATCCCAAAAGATGGAATTGGCTTGTTGCCAAAGCTGTTAATCATCTAAGATGTTGTAAAGCTGCTTTCAAGAACCACTCCTTGGTGGTGGTCATTTGACATGTGCTGAGTTTTTCTGTACTAAATTAATATATATATATATATTTGAAGGCCAGCTTGTGAAATCCTCTTCTTGCAAAAGCCAGTGATTATCACCCTGAGGATGGGAAGGAAGAAGCTGCAGGAAGGGGCAGACACGTGTGTTATCTTCAGTAGTGGATGTTTGCTGCCTTCCTCTCCCACCACGTGCAGCTGGAGCGGGCAGAGCAGCGCTTGACGGGGACTCTGCAGACTTGGCCCTGCAGTGGTGTGATGTGTCACCATGGATGTGTTACTCCCCAAGTTTTTTGGATCTCTCCATTGTCTCACTTTGTCGGACTTTGGAAAGCTTCAAGGGCAACGACCATCTCTAATTTAGTGTTTATGGCATAATCCAGCCTTGGTCTGTTGTTTTGGATGCTGTGGATGACTCCTTAGTAAAATGAAGAGTTTGCAGTTACACCATCTGTAGGCCAAGAGGGATGAAGAAAATTTTGAGTCTTTAAGAAGGAAAAAAAAAGGCAAAGGGAAAAAATGTTCTTTAGTTGAATATCTTTAAATACAGCCATCAAAAGAAAAAAAAAATTAAATGACAGTATTTATTGATGTCTAAATTTGGTAGAAGTTATGAATGTGAAAGACACGACGTTGAAAATTATGTAGGGAATTGGGAAATATTTTTAACTTTCAAGGTTGGTTTAAGCTGTATAAATATGTCTCAGTTTCATCTGCTGTATTAGGCACCTATTACTGTTATAAGTTCCAGTGGAACAAATTTCAGCATTTACAGTTTTTAAAATGTCAGTGCTTTTCATTCATATTTACACAGGGAAGCTTTTCTTGCCAGCAGCGTTTATTTCAGACTGGGTAGAGGGGCAAAGGAAATAACTTCTTTTTTGAATCAGTTCGTGCCAAGCTGAGGTGAGATTGAAACAAAAAAAAAAAAAAGTTAATTTCCTCCTTTCAATTTAGAAGTAAAAATTTTTGGAAAAGGCTGAGAAGTGCCAGTTCTCAAGATGTAAAGGACACACGACCAGATTTTAAACACACACGTGGTGGGATTTTCAGAAATGACAGACTTGTTTGTCATTTCCTGATCTTAGATGCTGTATTTTTAGTGGATCTGTTCTCGGTGCAAACCATTTCTCAGTAGTGCACTTTATTTTTCTATGTATGCAGCACACTTACAATAGTTGTATTTTTACCTAGTGAAAATGTACACAGGCAGCATCCTACGATATATTATGGATCCTAGTTCCCATCCACTTGTAACATGGAACTATTTCTAGTAGAAGGATGATTAGAAATGTCTAATTTACCATTTCCACGTGAAAACAGTATTTTTAACTGTGTGTTCAACAGAGTAGTCTCAAACAGAAATAGGTAATATATGTTTCTTGCTTGAAAGCTGGGCAGTTTAGTTGAATGGTTTATGGAAAGTTTAGTATTAATGGAAAGCATCAGAAAGGCAGAGTGCAAATCAGCGTTAAACTCGTGATAATAATCTCTTCTGAAGCTTTGCTCAGTGGTGATGGGAGCAGATGTGACGTGTGCTTGAGTCCCCCGTGCAACTTCTGTTGCAGTAACAGGGGTTCAGTTCCTGCTCTTGCCCTTACGGTGCCAGGTCCCATAGTGCACCCACCTGGAAGCCCAACCTGAGGCACCCAGCAGTGGCTGCTGCCAGATTTCTGGGATGAAGCAAATGTTGAGGCTGTTGGCAGCATTACTGTGTGTTCATGAGTCTTGGGTGGGTGGATGATCTTCTTACAGGGTGATGTTCAGGTCCTCAAACTGCCAACTGGTCTAAAAAAGCTGGAAGTGCAGGTGGTCGTGGTGTGTGTACAGGAGGAGTCAGCGAGGTGTGTTACAAACACTGGGATCTTCCTCCTTCTCTGCTGTTGGCCATATATCCTCTT